TAAAGGTGCTTCGACATATTTTATGTCGGCGAACGAATCTCAACTAAAAGAAAAATGACAATATTGTTTTGTGTAATTGAAAATCTTAGTTCAGGTGTCTTCTATATTTACATCGTGCAGACATCTACATATATTTGTGCGAACGATATAGCTTTTGTAAATTAAATAAAATTAAAGTTACGAGATTAGAAACAATAAAACTACAGCATTGATGGTAAAAACCTGTGAAATGATTATGGGCACATGAGACTTATCAACTTATCTCAGGGTGACAGGCGCAGTGGCAATGTCCCTCAGATCTTTGCAATTTGAAGCCGTGATTGGCATTGCAACGGCTATGGACAAGCGTATCGTTATAACAGCAAACTTGCGCTTGGTGCTAAAAACCGAAACGCAGTACTTCCCAGGACAAATACTTTTACAATGAGCCCTACTGCTACTAAAGAATAATTCAATAATTATTAATATAAAGATCGAACACTAAGAAAAATTCCTTCGATCCGGTTGGATTCGAACCAGCAGCTGCTGGAAGGCAGCAATCCGTGCTAGCAATCTCTGCCAATTAAGCCACGGAAAGAACCATCAGACCTTACGAATTTTTGTATGTGCTTGTTGCTGATCTTTGTTTTGTTTTAGCCAAATCTTTTTTTTTAATCCAGTCCGATCGAACGAATTTTTCTTAGTATTCGATCCTTGTATTAACAATTATAGCAAACTAACGGTAATTTCACAAAAAAAATTGAGTATCAAGGTAGTAAAACATCGTGACATTCAATTTACTTAAAAATTCAACTTAAAACTTCATTTTAAATTCAAGGAAGACATAATTAGTCATGATGTCGAATTTACAATGGCGCTGAAAAATCTATATACATAAGTGTTTTCAGCAAGCCAAGAATCAGTCACCTTAAAATGTAATATAATATATTTGAAATAAAATCTTGATGGGGATGTTTCCCACGAATCCTGCTACGTTAGTGGAGATTTGATAATCAACGTAAAAAATGGTTATACACCTTTTAGTTTTCTTACCAACGTAAATATACATAGTTGGCATTTCCTTAACAACTTTTATAATTAATTCACAAAAATGTTTCGTTGAAAATATCCCAAAGCTATCGCGAAGTCGGGACTCTGCTATGAGGTGAGATATTTAAATTGAATTTTCTGCGTCCGTTCTCATTCTGGTCTAGTAAATAGGAACGTGATTGCCATTAAACCGTAACGAACAACTCGTTTCCTTCCGAATTGCTCTCTAATTTCCATATCCCAATCGAAGTATAACTCTACAGGGTTTGTCGATTAAATAGTTCGGGGAAGAACTTTCACCTTAGAAAATTACGTCACTTAAACTTAAACCATTTAATTAAATGGTTTAAATTTAACTTACACAACTTTCATTAAATTAATTAAAATAATTAATTTAATTAAAACCATATTTCACTATACTACCATAAAAAAAAAGAAATATGACCTACTTACCGTACGAAAACGCTTGGTTTATGTTTTCTCTCAAATGACAACCCAACATTTCAGTACATCCTTGCACAATATTGTGATTTTTCCTGCGCACATGAAACGATTGGAGGGTGCGTTAAGTGGTAACGCAGAGGGGGCAGTTCGAGACATTAAAGAAAATACCAACTAGGGTGTGCACTCGGGTAAACGCGTAATCAGATGTTTTTATTGAGGTTCAGTTTACTGAGGGGAAGTTGCCGTCGTACGCGGAATTCCGTCGCCTTACTAAGTCTACTGAATGGAAAATGAAAAATGTACAAAGGAAACAATTAAATCTAATAAACGTCGATAATTTACTATAATGTACATACAGGATCAAATGTATAAGAATTTTGATGAATGCTCAAGTGTTGTTACTGAGTTCTTAGGTTTCATGTTCAGGTTCATGGTCACGGCTGATGGAAAAAAAAACAAGTAAACGTGATTTAAATCTGATAAAATAATTTCAACGCCTATTCAGTGTAGTGTTGATGTTGTGTAATCACTAAACATTAATCCAAAGGAATACATTACTAACATACATAATGCTAAAGTGCATATTCCAATTGTTTAAAGATTCAATACAGCCACTTGTCTAATAAAATTAAAGTTTTTTTTTAATTGGAAAATCATAACATAATAAATAACACGCAGTAAACTCAGATACACTAAAGATGTCTTGAATATTGTATTACTTAATATTGTTACGAATTTAGGTACACATTCTTCCATATATACTTTTAATCTCTGAGTATCACATGTACCTAAATGAAAGCAATATAGTATTGTATAATGCATTAGGTACCTGTTACATACTGAGGCATTTTCTTTGGTTTTAAATTGTGATAAACCTTATATAGTACACGAAAGCTAATTTTTCAAATTTCATCGATTTTCAACACTGAATTTATACAGAGTCATTAATTAATTGGCTGCGCTATAAAATTGGATACGTGATTACGTAAGTTATGACTTATAAGGGAGTCCACAATTCTGTTCTGTTTTGCATATAAATCAAAGTACATAACTTTTATTTTCAAAAACCTGTTAACCTATAGCCCGACACTTAACTCCAATTAAGAAATAACAATAATTAATTGGAAATAAAGGCCTTTTCCTTGTTTCCGAAGGACAGGATGTGATCTAAGAAACTGGCAACTTGCCAAAAGACTCAGACCTGTCATGTCCTCCCATTCTGCCAAGGGCAAATACTCTCGATAAAATTGCAATAAAGACACTATTTAACGTGACACAATAATAAAATTATAAAAATAATCGACAAAAATTAGCTCCACTTCCCCTCTGTTCGTTATCGTGGTCTCCTCAACGATAAATGAAACGCATAATATGTATATTATAATATGAGGCCAAACACAAGGTAGCTGCTGTACACTGTGGAGACGTTCCTCTCATCTATCTACCATTTCCATCATAAGATCAGCTCTAGGTCACCATAACATTTTACTTTCATTGGAATTACATATACATATGTGCGAAGTTTTATTGAAATCCGCAAAACAATAAATACTTATAGTAGGAGTGGTTAGTTAGCGTCTGACGCATAGATGGTACACTATACTGTCTGACGCGTGCCAACTATAGGTCTTGAAAGACCTATCTGAGGTCAGTTCGCTATTTTCGCTTTGTACGATATGGTTTGTCATTCTTTCGTGCAAATTCTTTAAAATCCTAGAAAGGGTGGGGTGCAATGTACAAAATGTATAAAATGATAGCCGCACCAAAAATATTACCCCATGGTGATATTTCATATCATCGGAAAGTCTTATTTTAATAAATTTTCAGTTTTCTGTTTATCGAAATATTTTCTTGTTATAAGAAACGAAAGTAAAGCTTGTACCCCTGCAAAATCGTCGCTTCTTCTTTGGAGAACTCAGTTAATAACTCCCATTCGTCGTCGTTCAGCAATGAACCGCTAGATGGCAGCACATTGATTGCAATATAATAATGAAAACGTCCAATAATAACATTCAATAAAAACCTTTCAATAATCGATATTGTTGGTATTGAACTTTCAACTATATGTCAACAGGATAAATTTTAAATTACATTAACAATCCAGAATTTGTTATTTCCTTTTAAATTTGAAACTACGATTATCAAGAATTTGTAGTGTGTCAAATTAAGAATGTGAGTTTTGGTGACATCGGTTCTTATAGTAATCGCTTGGAAGAGTAATCGAGGCTTAAGGCACTTCCATTGCTTTTTTTCTTCCGTGATGAAATCGATTAACGGAAAGTGGGTGAAATTCAATAAAATGTATTCGTCCCCAAATTTGCTACCTTATTACTACTGGAACACCCCCTTTTCAACAAAAAAGAATCATCGAAATCAGTTTTTCAATGTCGGACTAATCGCGTAACACACAAAGAGATGAATTGAAAATCTTCTCCCTTTTTGAAATCGGTTAAAAAGGATAATCGGATAAAAGGATAGATATTAGGTGTATAGTTAATATACGTAACTACACAATTCTGTAAATTACGTTCGCAATAATTAATCGGTAATCTCTACTCGAAGCAATTTGACGATTAAGGAAACCCTTCCCACTATTTCTCTTTTAGAAAATCCGAATGGCTCATGTTTATTTGTTTCATCATATCTTACTCTTAATGAAAATAAAAAGGTCACGGTAGATTAGTTTTCTTTGCGCACTAAAGTAATACACTGCCTCTCAGTAACATTCATTTTAGTCCAAAGTGTCATTCGCGAGATAAGCGGACAGGGTTCCGCTGCCCGCTGTAGAGGCTCCTGACCCCAGGGGGCCATAAATCACCGACCCTGGGCCGCCTACCTACAAATAGTCGTGGGCGGCCAGAAATCAATTAATTCAACATGCTACAACTTTAGTACCGAACTTGTTTTCTCTTCATATAAAACGTATCTCACTTTTATTAAACTTTTGTTAGTGCGCATTCGGAACGCGGTTGTGTAGGTATATTCCGAGCAAATTCTTTTGCGAGTCTAACATTTGGTGAGAACATTGAACGCTGGAGTTTAGTGATTTAGTCGGTTTCCAAGTATTCCGTAAGCAGAATGCATAATACCTCTGCGTAAGGACCAATATTTTTACGATGCAATGAACAAGTACTACTACTAACAAATTCCACTGTGGCCCTTTTTTGCACTGACCATCATTCTGGTTCGTTTCCCGATAGGACCAATTTGGGAATTGAACTTTTTTGAACTGGTTTTGGTCTCGGTGTTCTGGGTAGCGTCCCGGAGTGAATTTCGTTTCCGCGTTTGAGGCCAGGCAATTTGTGTGGTTGTCACGTTATTATGATTAAAAAAAAATTCAAACTGTGCTTGCCTCGCAAAAATGGAAAAGAATAAGCGTTCACACTCCAAATACTCACATATCAAACAAACAAATGCACCCGATGGCTACCGTCCTTTAAGAATCGTAATTCATCATCGTATTATTCAATACTAAAATTGTATTGCTCAAAAAAACTTTTTCTTAATTACAATGTTTTTCTGTTGCAGCACGTTGAAGTAAGATAAAGTGGAGTTTTCCCGACCAACTAGACCGCAAACTCGACAGGGAGCTTCATCCATAGCTTCCTGGATATTCACAAGAGCAGCGCAGCTACAACAACGACGGCGGCGATCTCGGGCACCGGGCTGCGCGACATGAGTGTGACACACTTGCGGCCGCGCCACTGTACGCCCGCCGGCGCTGTGGAGCGATAACCGACCTCCGTTCGATGTGCCAAGTTTCGATTTCATTGCTCTCACTCCGTAGTCGCACGTGAGCAGCCACAGACGCACTCGCAACTCCTCGCTCCGTGCGAGACGTTGATGATGCAACCTACCTGACCGAGCACTGGCAGCATTGACCACGAATTACATTCCAAATTCAATTACGACGTTTGACGTTTGTTTGACATGGCGCACATATATGTGCGAAAGTAAATAAACAAACAGTGAAAGTTGATAATCTAAAAGTTTAGTGTAAGGATAGAAAGTGTAGTTAACTAGTGAAACATGACGTCACGATCAAAGGAAAAGGTAGCAGCTGCATTCCGGAAGCTATTCCGGTCGCCCGAGAAGTTGGACAACGATGGCGCTGGCCCCAGCGGCTCACCCGCCAGGCGCGGCTTGTTACGTCGCCACAGGTAATCCTTATAGATTCAATTTCTCCGCACAAACTGCTTTAAATTTCTATACAATAGCAATCAAAAGAAACATAATTATATACGTACCCTACACCTAAACAAATGCTCAAAGAACACGAAAGGCTTGTGACGCGATGGCCTGAAGCGAAGACACAGTTTCATAACTTTGATAACATCCAAACGTGTGTTTTTAGTCACGTAATTCAAAAATACAAATATAATAAATTTATTTAGCGTACAAAAGAGATAAATTAGTATTACGGAGCTATTCCTGAAAATATTCGTAAAATTCCTTGATGAATGAAATATACCTATTAGAAATAAGTAAATACGAAGTTAGTTTGTGGATGGGCTATCACAACACTAGCTATTATTTCATAAGCCACTTGGAAAACGCACTGTTTTGTACTCCCGAAAAAGGTGCAAATAGCGGCGGCCACTTTTGTGTGATACTTTAACGCTATTATTTTCTTACACAAAACTTTCTTCTGCCATGTCAGTTAAAAAAATACTTAACAGTATGTTGTTTATGATCACATTAAAACTACGTTTAAACAGCAAATTAGATAAGAAACATAAAAGTAGGTACTTACTTAAGTAGACGCAATATTTCTGAAGAAAAAATAGGCTAAACATGAACATTTTATAATTATTAACACAATGATCGAACTCAAAGAAAAATTCTTTCGATCCGTGTGGATCCGCTTCCGTTCAACCGGATCGAAGCTTTTCTTTGTTAGACCTTTGTATTAATAATTGTAACAAACCAGTAGAGCAATTTCACAAAAATAATTGAATATCATTGTAGTAAAACATCGTGATATTCAGTAAACTTAATTTGAACATTTTTAGAGTAATGTTTTAAACCCAAAGCTCACCCAGGTGCTCAGGTAGAGCACACTAACTTTGCTTCTTATTTCACACATGGTAAGGTCAATTCTGGTTCACATACTATGCTTCAAACGCTTAAACTTACCGACCAGCCCACCGTTCAAACGCCCAAGTGTCAATGTCAACTAGTTTAGGCTACATTTCAAACACACCTATTCGAGAAATATGAAAAGTTTAAACAAACATTACAAAACCTTCAACAATAATTACCATATCGTTAATTTAAAGCAAAAGTACCTGCATTCAATGAATCATATTAATACGTTGGCACTTACTTGATAAAACATCCGGAATTTATTCAAACACAAAAACAGGATAGGACGAATACTGCTACAACAAAAACTCGTCAGTGAGTAAGTAGTTAGGTACGTGAAAGTTAAAACTCAACCTTGAGTGGGTTCAAGACAATTATTTTCATTAAAGTACTTATTTCCTCTTTGTTTTCACTGTTTTCGTGACTACATATTGGATTTGTGTCAACAAGAACTTGGGAAGACAATAGAAAGCAACGTAGGTGGTTGAATCCCAGTAATTGGAAACCGAAGCAGCGTCATAATGATGACTTGTATCGGTGGAGACAAAGACATTGTTTATCTAGTGGGCAAGAGTCGGGGACCGTCGTATTGCATTGTACTTACGCGGTTATCGCGGCCAGAATGACGTATAAACACGGAAAGGAATATTGCAACAACAAAGACATCTCTGCTCGAACAGCTACATCCCACTACAATAACATCAGTTACATTCTCAATAAAACATCTACGCGGATTTTATTTATTATTAACAATAAAGCAAATAATCTTAAACCAAATTGCACTTATAAAAGTTTAATTATAAATCAAGATTTAAAGTTTTAAGACTATATAACCCTAGGCTTGCTGGAAATTAACGCCACGACACGGTTTAAAAAAAACCGATTGTGGCTAAAGCTGAGCTAGTCCAAATTGTTACCAGCTGCGACACGCATGACGGTGAATACTGCATTAATCATCATGATTGTTTTAATATTCTTTTTAGTTTATTTTTATTAATATTCATGTTTTTTTTTTGTTTATATGCGTGTCTGTACAATAAACTATTTTTCTTTCTTCTATCTTTCTTAATCATAAATAGATACAAAATTATTTCAGTCATGTAATAATTTCTAACTAGTTACGAGAATTATCATACTATTTATTTTAATGTAATTGATCAAAGCATACTGGGTAAAATGAATTAATTTTAGCGAATTATATACAAGTAGGTACAAACTCTTGACTGAAGTTCATTTACTTAAAGCATGATTAAAAAACCCACTAAAGATATTGCACTTTTCATGGTCCTATCTACATACAATAACTTAGTTTTTTATTTAATCAAACAACTATTTCAGAATATTTAATTGAATAGCGTTCTTATTGACATTGGCATTCTTCTTCGCGTGTCAACTCTGACGTTTATATTTGTGAGGACCGGTACTCAGCGACTGACACAGCATTATCAGTGGCGCTGTAGAGGTCCTCACGTGTGCAGGTGTAGGAGCACGCAGGACAAGATAAAAGATGTGCCATAGTCTGAGGAGAGACACCACAAACACATGCGCTCCCAGAGCTATAACCCCCACCTATGCATACTCACTTGCTTCGGCCGACTTGGGTCCGGAGTCTATTTAGAGACTTCCAAATGTGACCAGGTAGATTATGCCCAGGAGGAAGGTGCTCCGACAGCGGAATAAGTGATGCCAGACATTTATACAGACTTGACTAGTTTCCCCGTCCAGAGGGAATACTTCTTTAATGAAGCTATGCCGACACTGTAGTGGCCGTTACTTGGCCATTGATTTATTTATTTAGCTTACGAATAAGCAATAGTGATTATTCACAAAAAAAATTTATAAGGGGGAAGGGTTAGAGGAACATTCAGGAGGAATCCGGACGTGAAAATCCATGTTATTGCCAAGTATTTATAAGAAGATCACGTTTAATACCAAACAATTATTATTTCAAGAAATAAATCCCGCAACGTTCCAATTAAATTCAGTATTAGTAACATACTTCGCAACAAATAAACAAAGTGCAACAGGACGGCCAAAAATATACAACTTTAAAGCAATCTCGAATTTTCTCACAATAGTAGTTTATGCCACGTTTTGTTATGCAGTTTATAAGCATGTGTCGCGTCACTATTGCGTGTAACTTAAGTAACATGCCATGGTCTGTGCCACAGCTCAAACTTATGACAATTTATCGTAATGTTTAGTAAAAGTACGTTAGATCAGGTATGTGATAATGTGAACAATCTAAGTACATAAACATTTAACTGCCTCCTGTCCCAGGTTCGATTCCCGGGCCGGGAGAAATGTTTGTATGGCTTACATTTATTTCTCTCGTGAGTTTGGGTGTAATTTGTGGTTGTCTATGTGTGTGTCCATGGCACCCGCGACACAGGGTTTCCCTAGTGCGGGGCTATGTTGAGTGTGTGCGTTATATTATTATTATTATGAACGGCGTTTATACTAAAGTAACGCCGCTCATCCAACCCCTAAACTATCATCACAGCGTAATTAATCTCTCTACGTAACTATGAACTTAAGAATGTCCAAAAAAACTTGCCATGCTTTTAATGGTTAGCAATCGAAGTACAAAACTAATACACTTCACAGATTTGCGCCTAAGTCTTTTTAACGATACCATATCAAAAAGTGCCGGAACATGATAATCACACTAAGGTTTGTTCTACACACAGACATTCTGTAGAATATATATATCACACTACCGACTGAACTCTACTTCAACAAATTCGAAATCTTTTTTCGAAGTCTTCAAAAAAGGAGGAGGTTCTCTATTCGACGGTACGTTTTCTTTTTGTATGTATGTTACGCAATAACCCACGATTTGTGAACCGATTTTAATGATTCTTTTTTTGTTTGAAAGAGGGTACTTCAGTAGTGGTCCCATTTAAATTTGAAAAAAATATTCCACCTCTAAGGGTGGTAAACTAGGGGATGAATCAGGTTTCGCGCACTTTTCGGTAACCGATTTCAATAAAACTTGGTAAATAGATGTAATTCCACGAACTTTTGAGGTCGGTTTTTTAGTACTCTGTACTGAGATTATATCAAAACAGTTTTCTGTCAAAGTTGAGGGATGTTCGAATAGTATTAAACTGTATGAAATAAGAATGCATCAAAATTATTATTTTACTTTAATTATACGAAAAATTGTGATCATTATACTTTATTAGATATACATATATGTGTGTGTGTAACGTGGACCCCACTATTATGCCGAGAAAGGTTAGTAGACGTAGCACCTGCCGGGAATAGATACTAGGATCGTTCACTTTCACTCATGACTGCTTCTATAAACTTTTATATCAACACACCATATTGGTCATAAAGAACTTATACCTATATAGTATTCAGTGGTGACACAGATTGTTAAGTAGTTTATAGTGCTTATAAAACCAGGGCTGTTATGGCGAATAAATAAGATAAAAATAATGAAGAGCAAGTATACAAACAAAGTATGCGTGGGCTTTCGCGCGGGATCTGACGAAAAACGAAGTCTTGAAGTCCATCTATAAGGACTCAACACCGTTTCGCCTCAAAGAAAATTTAAATAAGAGCATCTAAGTCGTGTTACATTATTATAAAAACAAATTCCGTTGGTTGAACGGTACAAGGACCACGTTTGAGGAATGCTTTTGAAGCACCACCTGCCTACTGCCGACTACACCATTTGACGAATTGGCGTTACTCATTCGCTAGGCATTGTCAGCGTGGTTACGTCTCGCGGTCAATGCGTAGCCCATAGTAAGTATGTTATGTAGCCAGGATGACGGTGCGTTATCTCCTTGTAGACGCTACATGGTCGGCAAGTGTACGCTGATTCAACCGGTCTTGTGGAAACCAATCTGGCGAGTCGTTGACGCTGAACCAAAAGCCGAAGTTTGGCACCCATTGTGCTAGTCTTGAGTCGTCATAGTGTGTGATGACCGTAAACGAAGTAGAGTCAATAATGTTGCATTTTTCGAATAGCACTTTGAATTTACTTCACGTCGCTTTGTCAACAAATCAAGATAATCTTGTACTCTACATTGTTAATCAGAAAAACACATAATGTCTAACAAGTTAGATGTTCCAAGAATCAGATTTATATTTAGCGAGTGTTTGAAAATTCTAAGAAATTCCCCCTTACGCGAAATACGCTGGCGGCTACATCCATTACATTAAATTGCACAAGCCGTCTTATTACCAGGGTACCTAATAGGCAATTCCAAATTGTTTTTCTTACCTACAACAGTAGTTTAGGCTCGCTTAAGTTTTAAGAGTACAGTTTAGTTTAAAAGTGATTGTTTATGTGGTCGTACATCAGCTGGAAGTCATCGACCGACCCTCATTTACGCTCACGAGGTGTGTTGGATGCTGTCCAAACCGGAGTTGTAATTTGACGTTATTATTTAAAGCATGCGTGAATGATAGATTCGTGGTGATTTTTAATTAAAGTTTTAGTATTAAAAGACCTTACTTCACTTCTTTGTTCTAACTATTTCATACTTATACTGTAATAAAACAATTCGAATGATATAATTAGGTATTTATTTAGAGATCTACATATCTACATACAACAAGTCTTTCGCGTAAATGAACGTTATCAAACGACAATATGTTTCATTAAAATTAAAAGCCACATCGAAGCGATATTTTACATGTTACCTACATTGTAACCTAACACAACATTATATAAATGTGGCCGACGTAATTATTCGGAATATGATATTCGCAACTCATGTAGAATTAAAACTAGGGCGTTAATGGATACCTATCCGGTCGTTACCCGTACATCTCTTTGTTTTTATATGTAAAGTACATATAAAGTGATTTACACACGCAAAACACAGCACGCCACTTCCGTTTTGTTCAAGTATTGTTAGACCTCTTAGAATAATTTCATGGATTTCGTGATACAAGTACAAGATTCATCACAAAATCCTTGATTTCACTACCCAGAATTCTATTGCACCTATTTTAGTAACCCTTGCCTGAGTTTGTAAGTAGAGCAAGCGAAAACAGACAAAAGCGCGATGTAGTTGGTCGAACGTTTGGCCATTTGTTGTCTATGGCAAGTAGCGATCTCTGATTGGAAGAAATGGGAAGCGCCATCGCGGCTGAAAGTACAAATGAGTACGTCTACACACATGTGTCTCTAGGCTCATGATGATAAAATGTATAAAAGTATGATAATCATCCTAATATCCACATAAGCTGTCTCTACCAAAACGAAATCGATTCATTGCTCATATTATAATCATAAATAAACAATACTGTTATGACTGGTGGCATAAAAAATGTTGTTGTTTTTATATACGACTACCACCGCCATTACTTTAAAAATGCTATGTTTGTATCACAAAGGCAACCTCAACAAAATAATTATTAAAATATATACTTTGCGTCTCTGGCCGTGTTTATGTCCCTGAGAATATATATAGTCTAATACTCGAACCAACCAATTCATTTATTATCCGTTATTTATTAATTACCTTAAACCTTCAACAGTCTTTTTACCTACTTTTGAAATCGTGTATAGGTTTTGAATTTAAGAAAAACTTCGTCTACCATATTGTCACCAAAGATTTTTAAATGAAATCAAATGTATTTAGTAGAATCCTTTATTTGGACGGGCGGTACATAACACGATTAGACAAACCGGTTTCGATGGGATCTATTTAATATTATCATTGACCGATTTTTGTTGAAAGTATTTGTTTTTATTTTTCAAATAAGAAATAATGTTTGACTCTTTAATTACAGAGACGGTGTAAGCCCAGCAGAGGCGGCAGCTAGCCTGCCCCCAAGTCCCGGAGCGGCAACACTCGCGAAAAAAAAAGGCGCAGGCGCCAGTGAAGTTCGTGAGCGTGCTGCCGCTGTGCGCACGCGACGGCTCATGAAGGAGCTCAAAGAGATCCAGCGAACACAAAACAGTCGGGCTGATCCTATGTTTACGGTGAGTTTCCTATGGTCAAATATTTAATAAACTTGAATAGGGCGAAAAGAGGACTCCAAAAAGAATCTGCCAAATCATAGTATTTACAGATTTTCTTTATAATTTGAATAATTAGCAAAATTATACATAACAAATCTTTTTAACCGACTTCAAAAAAGGAGGAGGTTCTCAATTCGACTGTATGTATTTTTTTGTATGTATGTTACGCGATAACTCCGGCAAAAAAATATGTGAACGATTTTGATGATTCTTTTTTGTTGGAAAGATGACAGTAGTAGTAGTAGTAGTAGTCCCATTAAATTTGAAGAAAATATTCTACCTCTAAAGGTGGCAAACTAGGGGATGAATCCAGCTTAGCGCACTTTCCGGTAACCGATTTCAATAAAACTTGGGAAATAAATATAATTCCACGCACTCTTAACTTTATTATATATATATTTTTTAATTTGTATATTTAATATTGCGTTTTCAACTCAAACAGCGAAGCAAACCTGAAAGACGAGCACATTGTTTTCAAACTTTAACAAGCTTACGAAACGTTGCGACTTAGACTTATAATCATCGTTTTCTTGAATAGTCGGTTACGTAACAGAAGACCCTATTATTTACGAATCTACGTTTACGTAACAGCTTTGCTTGGGCTAATATTTACAGAATTTGAAGTTACCAACTCAAAGTCGTTTCTTGACGCCCACCGTCTAACCAATTTGATAAAGCCAATTATAAATGGTCTTATTTTTGGCAAACCTAACAATCCTCTAACTCTTAGTGGATGCTACATAGATGATTATGTGCAATGAACGCCAGTCCCGGACAATTTTTCCAAATGAACTTGAAATTGAAAAGAAAGAAACTGAATAGACGTCTGCCTGATCCCTACAATTATGATGGGCGCACTCCGGAAACTTCTTATGAACTTATGATGGACCGGAAAGGAAAAACGGGCAAGCGATTAAACATTTTTTTGTAAGTTTTGCGTTGTTCAGGATTTTTATCGCTTCTAAGCATAATCAGTAACTACGAAATTTAAATTTTAGTTAAAGAAAATAATTATGAGTAGAAATTTGAAAATAATGGAGTATTTAATGGGTTCAATGACCGCTATCCTACCCTAGAGCAGACCCTATAAATAACAGTGCGCAAGTATACATAAGTACAGACGATGGTCAGCCACACATTGGGCACTAACCAAGCAACACAAATTCACAGCATAAGGACTTTAGAACCTATCCGATTCTTTCTTAAAGCACTAGAATGCTTACTGGTTAAGTAAAAAATAATTCCACAGAAGCACGTCTCAAAACTACGAAGTTTTGCAAATAAGTTAAACAGTTCTATTCAAAATTTGAGGTCTTCGGGGCTCTGCAATTTTCACCCAAATTTTCTGCATGTTGATTTGAAGTCTAAATCTCCAAGTGAATTTATCTTACGAACATAATTCCAGTCTTCAAAAGGGCTGTAATTTCGTCATGTCTATGGTATTAGTGCTTTAATGTTATTATTTTGCAGGTTTACTGTTGCTTTACAATGGACTATGCTAATTTCACGATTATAATATATAGCTATTCTACATTGTCTACTATTAACTCTTGCGATTATGCAGTTGCGGAGTAGTGTATAACAAAAACAAGCTCGTATGCCGATTTTAGTGACTAAATGCTATATTAAAAGCATATCTAATAAGGGTAAATAGGATCTAAAATGAACTACGAGTACTATGTAGTCAAAGGCGGTATTTGGATTCGATATTGCCATTTTTAGTTACTATTTTTTTATAATAGAATAAGGGCGCATTTAATCTCCATGTCATCTGATGAAAAGCGACGATGAGTTCGACGATGGAGCATGTACACCAAAATAATGCCTATTCACTCCGCCTTGAAAAGGCCACGGTAATCCAGGCATTAAGCAGGCATGGAATGCCACATTCCATAGTCGTTCGCCAAATAAATGTGGAAGCGTAACGCTTCGTGCGAATCTTTGAAATAGCCACAAACTGCGGTGGAACTTCAGCCTAAGTCTACGATCCTCTCCCCCGGTGATGGAAAGGTTAAGGCAAAATTAAATATTTCAGGCTATGAACGTAGGCGCTGTTCTAAAATTTAAAACCACTCGCAAGGAGAGATAGGTAGGGGAGAGAGCTGAACGTTCCGATTTTCAAATAACTTGCAGTTTTATACTGAAAATGAAGGATTTGATTTTCAACATGCGGAAATGTTGAACAAATGTTTATCGCTTTTTGCAATAGTATAGTCACTTCTACTAATATCTCAATAGTCTTTTTCATAGACAAAAATTTTTGACAAATTTTGGAGCGGAACATTCAGCCCCGCTTTGGGGCGCGTTGTTCCGCTTTTGTGGCAAATTGTTCCGCCTAGATTATGATATTTATTATGATTGATATGATGATTATAATATTATTCATCGCTCATTTCTTCATTTGAATCACAGTTGAGACACGCATAAGTGACTATCATCTTGTCTAAATATCATCTTGACATGAGCCTGTTTGTAGTTTGGCATCCTTAAAAGAAAGAAAAATGGTCATAAAAATTGTAAATATGATTGCAGGTCAATTGGGGAAATTGTTCCTAGCAACAACCAGCCCCTCGAGAGAGGAACTTATAGCCCCAAATTACGTTTTTATACGAAGACTGACATACCGGCAAAATAAGAGAATCAATCAAAAAAATACTCAAACAATAAGATTCCTTACTAATGTCACTACAATTTAGAAAAGTTACGTATAAATCGGCCCATATTAAACAAAGACAGACCAAAAAATTTAAACAAGAAAAAATTTACTTACGTGATATTTTGGCAGCTCCACGCACATAGCCACATGTCGTCGCCGGAGTTACTGAAATGGCTGTCGGCAAGCGCATCACCTGACGCTTTAACGATGCGCTTCACATGACTGTATTGCTACATATTTTCCTTGCAAAGTTATTGCTGTGAGAACAACTTACCCCGGGAACTACCAGCCCCGGTCTCCCCTACCGACGCTTTTCTAATTTTGTAATCGTATTCCTTTTAACTTTAATAAATTCTTTAATTCTATTTGATAGGTTTTTTGTTTGAGTTAAGTACTCGACGTGATGAACCAAAGACGCTTTCTTTCGAGTGTTTCTTGCGGAAAGTCGTAGGTACCTCTTTCTTCTTCTTCCACATCAGAATGTATTAAATACGGTTTTTTACTGATTTATACGGTATAGCTGGAAAGGCTTTCCAAAATGGCAAAAATCTTATTATCATAACATCTAATTTTACGCTTCGAGGGAACATACTGTGTACGTACGATATATCAGTTGTTTAGACCCTTGAAATAGCGTAGGTAACTACCAACTCTTTCTCCTTGTGGGACGTATTGTGTACCTTCTGAAAGCCGTATAGGTATGCCTCCACCGATCTCTTACGCGGTTGGCGTCTTAGTTTGTACTTTGTTAACATATAATTTTGCCCCCATTGAAGTTTCCTTGTGAGGGCTGAAATCTACCTAAAATATACGAGGTTCGACTTCTTTGGAAACTAGGTAGATATAACTTATGCTTAATCTTATCTTTTTAATGTAGATAAGCACATTCAAAATCATCTCAAAGGTCAAGCTAATCAAAAAAGTACACACATAGAAATAATAATATTGACAGGCATACTTTTAAGTGGGAATCCATTGCAAAATACAGTGGATCTAGCGATCCCACGGGTATTATTACAATTATTTATCTTGTTAAATTTCATCGCCGTTACGACATAGGTGCTTCAAAATCTTATTGATTGATTGACTGATGATTTGGAAACTAATCATTTGTATTCAATACTGCCGCAAGGAGAAAAAAGAAAAACTTACATCGTAAAGGTATAATAGGTCAAAGGATGTTGATATTTTATCTTTTCTTCAGGTGGAGTTAGTAGGCGACAACCTATTCGAATGGCACGTGCGGCTGCACCAAATCGACCCGGAAAGTGAGCTGGCGGCAGATCTACGCGAATTGCACATCCCTAACATACTGCTGCATCTTGTCTTCCCCGAGAACTTTCCATTCGCACCGCCTTTCATGCGCGTCATCGAACCCAGGATAGAGAAGGGCTTCGTTATGGAAGGTGCGTTCTGATCTCTCAACAGAATATGGAAGTATAATGTCCTTGATGTACCGCATATCCCAGCTGAGCTTTGTTGCACAGGGAAAATGTTCAATTACAAAAACAAATATTAATTATAAATTTAACCCGGTTAGTATACCTAGATGTTCCACCGACACACTAAGGGTCGTATTCTAGAACTCTACTCAATGCTCAAGTCAGGATTTGAGTATGGTTTAAAGCACTCGAAATCATACTCAAGTCCCTGCGATCAGGGTCGTATTTCCAGTGCAATCCTGACTTGAGCATTGAGTAGAGTTCTGGAATACGACCCTAAGTGCCGCTGACTGAAACACATTCAGTAACTATTCTTTAACATGCATAGATAAACGCACACCCGTCTCTCCGCTGGGGTAAACAGGGATGATGGACATCTCCCCGCTGCGCTCCTGGCATACGATTTTGCTTCCTCCACTAACCATCAATCTTTCCATATATGTATACCCATTTGTCGTAAAGGGGATAGTAACTTGTTTAATTACCTACAATGGCTTGAACATTTCGACAAAAATGATTTATGGACTAGCTAACTATTTTTACAGGTGGAGCGATTTGTATGGAACTGCTGACTCCGCGCGGTTGGGCATCTGCTTATACTGTGGAAGCCGTGGTGATGCAGTTTGCTGCGTCAGTGGTGAAGGGGCAAGGTCGCGTGGCGCGCGCGCCGTCGCGGCCTTCGCGTGAATTCTCGCGCCGGCGCGCCGAGGAGGCTTTCCGCAGTCTCGTGAAAACCCACGATAAGTACGGCTGGGTAACGCCATCCCTCTCCGACGGTTGAGTTGCGAAAGGTAATTCTAATGAACTACATAATCAATAAAAGTTACTACTTCATTCTGATCCAACTAAATAAAACAATATGAAAACTTCTCGTATCTAAAATATATTCAATGTAGATTGGATTGATACAGAACATTTTTTTTTTGCAACACCGTATCAGACAATACCTGCTCAATTTAAATACTAGTTCAAAATCTTATAAGAACTACCTAAGAAATGGATATTTAATTAATTGGGCAATTTGGAACATTATGCAACATTGACCTACATACATCGTAACAGAAGACGCGTATGATCGCTCGAGAACGAGCACTCGTAATTGCACCATTTGTCAATTGAGAATAACGATCGATCTCACTGCCTAAGTACCCATTCACTGGAACTGCCAGTAAGAGACTAATAAAAGTATACTATCTTTAGAACGCCTTTTAAAAAATACCTAAAAAAAATCCTGTACTACAGATACAAACATACTTAACCCTTTTATCTTTGTTTCAGTGCAAATTGACCAGCTGAAATGCAGTATAGATCTCTTTTAGTTAAATCTCAAAGAATAACATTAATTAGTGCAAATTTTAAATAATGCTCTCATTGTATTTAGTTACTTATCTGTATTATCCGTGTATATCTAAGTACAGTGTGAAAGAGTTACATGGATAAGTCGTTTGATGTTTAAATTGGACATGTACTATAATATTTACTACGTGTGAAGGTTTTTACCATAACCGTTATAATTAAAGCTAGATCTTAAACACGAAATGCTGCATCCGATTTCGATTGATGATTCCGTAAACCATTGACATGGTATTATATTAAGTTACTCACCGAACTCTGCAAGTACGTTAAACGAATAAGAGTAATGAGTGGAATCGACGAAAATTTGAACGTCTTACTAAATACCAGGCGACGGTCTTCCAAATAATTAAAATCGTTTTGGCGTTCCGAGGTTTGATCTAAAGATAAACTATCTATGCAATGTACGAAATTTGGAATTTTGTGGTAATTGTATAACAAATGTAGAAAGTAAATTATACAATTAAGCCGCAATTGATGTCTATTTGTTTATGTGGTAGATAATGTTATAATTAACATTACTCAGACAGAATACCATGTATGTATTTAAACTTTGTGCCAAATTTTATTGTAATTTTAATGCTCATTACATATGTAAACATTAAATATAACAGTAAGAAATGTATTAGCTTATCCTGCAGTATACTTAATCCACAAAATCAACAAATGATACCAAAATATTTCCACATGTTGTTGAAGAATCTTTTGAATGTTTTAAAAGAAATGTTTCCGTCCCAAAGTCATTTACTCATTTTAATATTAGATAAGTAATTTGAAAATTCACCAAAATTATTATGTAAATCATATGTTTACTACCTTTTTGTATGAATGTATTGAGTATTATTATCTGCTATCTTGACTTGAATGTAATTTTTGTCAACTAAGTCATGCTAAATCTGCATGCTTCGCCATTGTAATGTAGTAAATAAAATTATTACTACGTCTGTGTTTTGATGAGTAGTCATACGCTCAAACTAAAGTAGATAAATCTTCAAATATGAAAAGAAGGCTTGTGGTAAAAAGTAAATTTATTGTAAAATTAAATTAGATACTATAGAAATTGATGTTGTTTTGTTTGGTGAACCAAAGATGTTTATTTTTATGTAAAACACCCATTCAGTGCAAGATTCATATTTATAACTGAATTATATGTACAATGTTATGGATGTAATAAATTAACTGCTCAGAAAACATTTGTTTCATTAAATATACTATGTCGAAAGGTGTTATCCAATTCATTTCCAGAAACTGTTAGGATTTGTTTAATTTTTTTTGTTCAGTGAATCATTTGCAATCAATGCTAGCATGTGTTGGCCATTGGTTAAGTCTAAACTATCTATGTTTTAATAATGAACAATTTTATTGTCAACTAGGCATGATTAATTAAATTATTTTCATATAATGTAAACATTAGACAAAAATTCATATTGTTGGAGTTACATTAAATCTAATTTACAACAAGTGGTGCACAGCAGCAGTGCAATTATTCATAGATAAATTTTCAAGCAAAATATCATTTCTGCTCTAGTGGTTGAATACTCTATGGAACAGTCAAAACAGAAAAGAATTATAAAATGACTATTAAATAGGTCACCATATGTTATTTGAAAGTGTCATAAATCTCACTGTGACGCCAATGTGTGATGATGAAAAAGGATGGAATGAAATAAATGATAATCTCAATAGAGTCAATATTATTGCCAAGTGATATTGATTCATTGTTATAAGACTCCAAAATGACTGTGCTAGTGTTGTCTTTTGACATCAACATTTGAGATGTCAGTACAATAAATTATTTCTTAAAAATTGTACAATGTGATTATTAATACAAAGATCGAACACTTAGAACAAATTCCATCAATCCGGCCGAGTTCAAACCAACGTCTTCTAGCAAACCATACCAGACACTATGCCAACTATAATCCATTTGTTTAGGTACTTAACTAAATGTAAATAATCTTGAGATGTTTATTTAATGAAATATACATTTATAAAATGAATTTTACTTACATTCAAATACAAAATACAAATACTTAGCTTCATATTTGCCTATTTTTGTACCTATTGATTTGTAAAGTATGTTTCAATAAAAAGATATATCAAGATTATTTACATTTAGTTAAGTACCTAAACAAATGGACTATAAACCACAGAATGAACTTTTTCTACAGCATGGTTAGCCTATTTTTCCAATCTTTACTTTCAAGGTATTTAATAGCCAATAAAACACGAGCTTCTTTTAAACCATGTTGACTTTTTACAAGAAATGAAAAATATAGTTAAAGTTATAAATATAAGTTAGACACTTATCACAATCCTGATCACTCTCCGCCTCGTAATGCTAACACCAGATGGAGTACAGACCCCCCTTGGACTTTGTAGTCTTGCGCTGTCTTCTCATCATTCCTGTAAAATAAAATTATTTATTATTGTATTGTCATAACAAAATCTGGTTCTTTCTTTTCCTATCAATCTTGGGTGAATGAAAAGAATCTTCCCGCATGACATACCATTCCTTTCCAGTATGTCTGGTGAACTCTAGGCTACAATTGGCGAATATCTTACACCAATTGGCAAATCCTTTCACCACAATAGCAAGCATTACAGTATATGCCAACAATACGATAAAAAGAGTGATCTGGTTACACATGATTTCTTTTTATATACTACCTATAAGTATTTTATTTTATTTGTATACTTAAATAATAAACAGTTAAGTGCATATAAATAACAGTAGTTTTAGAAAATATGTAACTTAATTGTGACGTATTCAGTACAAAACAAAACAGGACGACTAAACAACAATCTATTAATGTTGATGCAATGGGATATGAAATTCAGTACCCACATTTGTTTTCCTGAAAATATGAGACGCTGTTGTTGTGGTGGAATGCCTTCTTTCTCTTCTACTCTTTCTTTGATCCTTTCAACTTTGTCTGTCGGCTCGATGTCGATTTCAATCTCTTTCCCTGTGAGCGTCTGCAACAAAAAACGAGGTTTTGCACTTTCTTCAGCAAAATGGCAAAGGTCTATCGATATTAACCACTGACCTTAACTTTAATCAGCATTTTGAGAAGGGATTATAAACTGCACTAAACCAAATTATTAAATAAATTCAAGATCTCTTGCAAGTAACTACTATTTTCGGCGAATTTTCGGCTGGTCATTTGACGTTTGACGTTCATTTCATAGTAGATGTGTTAGGGTAGCGATGCGCGACTTTGAATGATACTAATACTAATCATTCGAATGGGCAAATCATTCGAATAAGTCGAATCCAAGCACAATCATTCGACTCAAGTTGAATGATTTATCAATACCGAATGCCTTATAGTCGGCTGGGTGCATGAGTCGAATGATTATTATATAGGAACACCTAATTCATCATGTCCATACCACAAAATATCCCTGTCCCCGTCACATCTACAATGTTTACCATATGTCAGAGAGGGCTAGATGATCACGAGCAGAAATGCTCTATGGAATCTATGGATTAATACTACTAATTAGTAATTAATGATCATTCAAATCATTCGAATACGAAAATTCGTAGGTTACTAATTTGTTATTCGAATGACAGGATTAGCGATTACTAACGTGTCGAATATTGAAATCATTCACAATCGCGCATCGCTAAGTTAGGGCAGCTCCTTTCTTTTATTTATTTTTTCCATCCCAAGACTATAACACTGTCATGTCACGTATGTACTTGTTATCAGGCTGTATAACATTATGCCAAAGCCGTTAAAACTCTACATATTTGTTTGTACGTACGGACAACGGCACACCGGACTACTGATTTTTGTTCGAAAATCGCCTCCAGTGCAACGGAACAAGATACGTCAATGTGTAGCTTGATGTGCTGGCGTGTGTACTTTGTAGTGTTCGTGGTGGCAGCAAAGAGAACAAAACAATTTTTCAATTTTTGTTTTTTCTACATTTCTATTTTTCTATTTCACTTTTCATCTATCTGACTCTTAGAGGATGGAAAAAAATAAAAGAACTGACTACTTGGCTGCACTTGTACAACTATCATTTGCGCCTCTTAAAAAGCCCAAATAAAAACTTTACTATCTATGACTCTAGATATGTAGTGCACTAGTGGGTATTCTGTGCTAGTGGGTAGTATAGTGTTCTGTGGTGGTGGGTGTGCTATTTTTAATTACTAAAACGTAAACGCTGTGCGGATTATTTAATAATTTGTAAATCTTAGATTGTTTCCATATATTTTAAGGACGTAACGTAATTTTTATTACTTCAATTTGTTTATAAGGCCATGGAAAAGATCAACAAAATATTCGACAGAATTCATAAGTTGACACACGAGGGTGAGTACTCATATTTTAGTTATGTCAATGAATTTTGTACGATAAAACGTGATTTCCATACGATAAATGTGTTTTTCAGAGGGACAGTCGGATTTCAGATTAGTATTATTAAATGTTGCAAATATATCAGAAGAACAAGTTAACCTAGAACCTGACAAAATAAGCGATCACTTTGAACTTCTGAACAAATTTTTACATAATTTTTTTATAGAAATTGATGAATTATCTTCGGAGATACAAAAAGATGAAACAATTCTTATCAGTGTTAAGAACCAGAAGTTGTTACGAAGCTGTTTTCAACTGATTACGTCGCTGGGCTTTTCTTCATGTCTGATCCCAGGGCTGGGCCTTAGTTTAACCAAACGATGTTCTTCGGCTGTTATGTTACCGTCGCTGTCCTTGACGGATGAGCAAAAATACAAGTTATTAGTAGACTGTGCTGACTTCTTCGAAAGATGTTATAAAGTACCTGTTCTCAAAAACATTATTGTCACTTTTCATCTATCTGACTACTTGGCTGCACTTATACAACTATCATTTGCGCCTCTTAAAAAGCCAGGAACATATAGAAACTTTACTATGACTCAAGATATGTATGACCAACTAAACAAAGACAGGCAAAGGTATGTACGGATCTATGAACATTTAATTGCTAATTGCTTCCAACCTATTCTTATGAAGGAACTATTGGTGTTGCAAAGTGTCAATGACCCTCCTCCACCTGTATTTGTCCGGAGAGTGATTGCAAAGGAAATGAGCAGAAGACTACTTGTCCCTGGAGGGTTACTGAGCTTAATCAGATGTTTTATTGAAAACTATAACATTGACACAGCATTTCAATGGAAGAAAATTGACATGATATGCAAAATAGTTATTGCTAAACATGGCAATGATACAGAGGAAAACTACCTAGGTAATATATGTTCACAGTTGTTTAAAATTTTGGCATTAAATGACACTCATTATTTAGCAACAGCAGTTGCTTGTATTTTACGTCTCCTTGAAAGGTATCCACAGTCCAATTCTGTAAAAGCCCTAACAACAGAAATTTCCCAGGCATTTGATTATGATTATCTTGCGTCACAGTCAGACTTACCTGGTACTATCATTCTGTCACCCCAGGAATTAGAACATAAAGTAAATATACTTCATGCATGCCTCTACAGCACAAAACTTGATTGGCCTACTAATTTAATGATGCCAAACCTGCAAGTATTACTCCTTTTAGGTATAAAATGCATTAATAAAGAAGAACTAAGTACTAAAATAAAGGGTATTGTGCTAAAGTGCTTAGAACAGCTAAATAAAAGTGACATGCACGCAATAATTAAAAAATATTTGTTTGGAAATTTCAAATTATCACAGATTGCAATAGAGGAATTTGAGTCAGGGCTTACTATAAAATGCATGCAATTCCGAGAAAACTATGCAAAGAGTGATATAGCTATGTACTTCTTGACTTTATTTAAAGCATCAACAAACTCTGTTTTTGTACAAAATGTATTTGAAGCTTGTTCTATGATACTGATTGAGTTGAGTAGCATAAGAAGACAGAAAAGAAATGAAATTCTATACAACCACGAAGATGACATTGTTCTTTTCAATGATACAGATGAAAATTATGCAAATATTCTACAGTTACTTTCTGAAATGTCAACCACACCCAAACTAGTATCTACTTTGAGAGCCAATCCTATAATAGTACTTCCTTTTATTGAACATTTTATTTCTAATACTAAAAATAACTCTAATGATGAATGTGTAACTATTGCTCTGGTAGTCTTGAATACAATACTATCAAACACAATTAGAGACAAAGATTTAGAACATAGATTGCAGAATTTAATACCAGTACTAAAAGGAATCAGTCAAAACGAATCTGATCTAATGAATCTTCTATGTAATGAAGCTTTATCTTTAATTTCTTCTGAAGAAAAGCACACAAAAGAAACATCATGTAGTAAAGCAATAGCACATGTGTTTGATAACTTATTGCCTGTGAGGGCTCATGGGATAATTGAATTGACCAAACTCATAGATGCCAAAGACCCTGAGACTATTTCTAAGAAACATTATATTTTCTGTCTCTTCCAGGTAAGGTTTTTTCCTCTTCTTTTTGTTTTTTATTTTCTTTCTTATTTCTATCCCTTTTTGTGTCATATGGTGTGATATACTTATGTTTCAGGAACAACTAAAAGAACAAGATTCCTACATTTACCTGTCAGCTGTCTCTGGTATGGCTTCATTAGGTACCCACTGTACAGAAGATGTGCTACAAATTCTGTGTAAAGAGTTCTTACAAGGACCAACTGAACAGGACAGTATTGTTACTAATGAAGATCAGAACAGAGCTGCTGAACTCAGAATGAAAGTTGGCGATATTATTGTGAAAGTAACAAAAAGGCTAGGTAAGAAATAATCAAATAATATTCATGATAAAATGTCCTTACACGTGTTTGCGTAAAAGTAAACACATAAATTGCATACGTCTGGCGCACTATAAGTTTCCGGAAAGAATAAGAAGAAAATACTATAAATAGTCAGAAATGAGTTTATTGTTTCTCAAAATATTCTCTGTTAGCGTTAATGCACTTTTTCATACGGATAAACCAATTTTGAAAACATTTATGCGACTCCTCCATAACAATCTCTGAAACATATTTTTCATACTCTTCGACAGCCTCTTCAGGTGATGAAAATCGTTGACCACGTAACTGGTTCTTAATTTTTGGAAATAAATAAGTCACAAGGTGACAGGTCGGGAGTGTACGCGGGATGGCTCATAAGGTCAACGTTGCTCACCTTCAAAAATTCATTTGTCTGTCTGGCCGTGTGGGAACTGGCATTATGGTGGTGCAAGATGATACGGCGTTTACGGTTATTTTTACGGAGTTTGTCAATAACTTCCGGCAAACAAATGGTCGTGTACCAATCACTATTCACGGTACTACGATTCTCCAAAACAACAGTAGCCACGTGTCCAGTTTTATTTAAAAAAGAAGCAGTCATCCGCTTATAGGCACCTTGCACCCGTGCCACTTTGTTTGGTTTCGGCTCATCTCGAAAGACCCATACGCTCGATTGCTGCTTTGTTTTAGGATCGTAACTATAAATCCATGTTTCGTCACCTGTTACTATGTCGCACACCAAATTTGACACCCCTTCGTTGAATCTGGTAAGCATGGCATTGCACCAAGTGACGCGATCCGTTTTTTGAGCCTCAGTCAAATTGTGTGGGATCCACCGAGAGCACAGCTTTTTCACACCCAAATGTTTGTGTAGTATTAATTGTATTTGACTCATGCCTATGCCTAAAGATTCCCGAATCTCATGATACGTCACATGCCTGTCTGTTTTGCCCATACGGCGCACAGCATCGATGTTTTTGTTATTCACAGCAGTGGACGGGCGACCATCACAAAATTCGTCACTGAGATTCACACGACTGCGTTTGAATTCTGCGAACTAGTTATAAATAGTCAGAGACAGGGCGGCTCGGCAGAGGGTTTTTAGGTGACGAAAGACAATATGCCTTGGCGATGCTTCGGCACCCTTTGGCATGCTTCGACAGGCTTCGGGACGCCCAATACAACTATACTGGGCGAAGCGAGTCACGCACAGCAGGACTGATTTGAAGAGGCCAGGCGTGAGCACGATATGGCGACGGAATGCTTCGGCATGCTTAAAGATGCCGCGTCGTACTCAAGGATACCATGTCTTATTTAAGGACACCTCGACATAACTGCCGTCAGTGTTCGCTTACATGTAGGGATGCCGAGCCGTCCCATCGACGCCAGGCCTATAAAGGAAAAACTGGTATTTTACTAATTTATCATCCCTTCTATGATCAGGTGAAATGGCGATATTGCATAAAACACTGTTACTGAATACTATACTGACCGGATGTAGAGATAAAGATCCTTTAATCAGGATGTCTGCTTTGTCCAATTTGGCTGAAATCGCTTTGGTTTTACATTACCGAATTGGATCTATTATTTACGAGGTAAAATCTGAATGGAATTGGTTAACATTTATTTACATTTCTATAAATGAATTGTATCTTATAGCAGTGCGGGTATTTCCAGGTATTGCTGTGCATATGGAGCGTAATAGAGTCAGACAAGGCAATAGAATGTCGACGAGCAGCAGTCATGGTCATATCAAGTCTTTTAAAGGGATTAGGAAAAGAAACCTTAATGCAGCTCAAAGATAATTTATTACCGATCTATAGGACTTTAAAAAAATTATACAGAGACGAAAACGAAGACTCTGTTGTTAGACTTCACTCGCAAATTGCCTTAGACGAACTTAATAATATTGTACGTGAATCATTGCCTGATTTGAAAATGGAAAAACATATTTTCGTATTAGATAAGCCAGAAGATGTTTTTAAATAAAAGTTGGTAAAGAACTATAATTATTTTATTTAATTTAATCACACTCAATCATATTCTAAATAATAACTTAAATCTAAAGACGAAACACTCAAGTATAGAAAACATTACCGATAAATACTTTGTATGGCAAACTTAGTACTCTTGAAGTCGTAGAGACGAAAGTCATTGCATACTGATTAGCCACACTATAATAGATGTGAAGAACCAATCGATTTACCTGAATTTCCATTTTAGTCCTTATACTATAAACTGTACAGTCAAATTACTAGCTGCAAACTAATGTGCTTCTTGGTTAATACAATACGCGATAAAGTGCACTTAAGTACTGCAATCAAATCCTGAAAAGGATAAAACTATTTACGCCTCAGACGTATTATCACCTTCGTTTGGTTTTTTTACAAAGCTTTCGTCTTTTTCTGACAATGTAATTGAGTAAATTGAGCTTTGATCAGTGAATCGATCTCTATTTCGGCTTCCAAAAATACTACTCCGAGAGAGAGTTGACACTGTCCCTATAGATATGTTATCACGGTCTGCTTGAGGCACCATCTTCCAAATCAGGAAAGCAAGTCCGCCAAAAGCTGCGACCACTAAGAACATAACCAAAGATACTTCGCCAATCACACCTGAAATCAAGGTCGATGTTAAAAATCATTGTTCTTTGAACAACTATTAAGTATTCACTAAAATGCAACTTGCCGTACGAACTTTGTTCAATTTCTTCCTTTTGGGCTTCAAGTCTCGCCGGCTGTAACTCATTGTAGTCCATATCCTGATCATAGGGCTCTACAGAACCTATGTTAGGTTTCGTATGTTGTAAAACATCCCCAGGATTTGCTTTAGGCAAGTTGATACCAGCTCTAACAGTTAATGTCTCCGGTTTGTATGTGCATAAAACAAGAAAACTGTAACAACATTGTTCATAAATAATTTGAGAGTTTATTATAGCTAATAGTTAATGTTTTACTGTGGTCGTAAATTGTCTAAAGATTTTTATTAGGAAAACTAAATACATTTACGTGTATGGAAAAGCTGTTAAGTAACAAGTTTCTGCGCGTAGTGTTTAGCCTTGATTTATTACTGCAAATAAGGGATAACGGAATGCATTACCGTCTAGTGCTGTGCGTGAGTATAGGCAAATTCTCCTGCACAATGACATAGGTGGCGACTGTGGTGTCATTTACTTCGGAGCCACACTCTTCGTGGTGAATGCGCAGAATGTACGCGTCTTGTGCACTATTAGGATTGCCCTGGAGGGAACACCGTTCGGGTCCGCCGTCTGCGGCCTCCACAGCAATACGTCCACCAAAGAAAGGACCCGTGGCCACTTCCACTTCGCTTGCGTGGGGAAGACATTGCGTGGCTCGGGCTGAAACTAAAAACAAACGCAATCTGATATTGTACAAACACACCAAAATTAACAACAAGAATTCCAATAAAATTCCTGATACAACGACTAGGTACCAAATTCAATTAATCTTACATCCTTTAGTGGGTACAATAATTATCTTGGAGCCAATCGAGTGGGGGTCGGCGAGGTCACGCGCGTCCCGCCGCACGGGCCGCACTTCGAACGAGTACGTAGTCGCCATACGCAGGCCCTTGATGCGCGTGCTGTATGTGTGCCCACGCCGCGTTCCTGGCGGCATTACCGTCGTTGTAGAAGCATCCCCATTTAGAGTTCTTGCTGTTTTGTCTTCTTCAGGGTTATCAATCACCTGAAATGTTTAATCATTTGAGGTCCATATATTTTACTTTGCTACTTTATTCGATGAAAGTGTAGTAATTAATTACTTTAGGAGCTATTTAGACTTATGTATAATTACAGTGTTAATTATGTTTACGTCGGACATAAAGCTAGCTTTACTTCGTACAAAATTTTCTACTCGATTAAATGAAAAAAGGAAGTAATTAATGTTATATCTACGACGCTGGCCCAAGCCTAGTGACCGCCATTAAGGAAAAACCTAATTTTATTCAACATTACTGTCTTAATAATTTCTTCAAAAGGAACTGTTTAGTATTTAAAAGTATATAGGCTATATCGAGTTTGAATCCACATGAGCTTGCTAATGAAATAATAATGACAACAACAATCGAGAAGAAAACTCACTTTGGTTCGGCAACGATACTGTCCCCAAGCCTGAAGCTCGCAGTAGTGCACCTGGAAAGCCAATAGCCGCGGTCGGCCCTCCTCCTCCGCCTGACCATACTCCCAACGAAGGCGAACATCACGAAAATCCGGCTCGCCTATTAAATGTAGCACCTCTGTAAATAACAAATGTCATATAAAAAACTAAAAATTTACCACAGGAATGTCTTTTCGAACAAAAACCTAGAAAATTCCTACAACCTCTACACAAAAATGTGCTAAGAATGTCACCTAACCACAGACATTATGCTTCAACAGTAAGCGCCTATTGCAATGTTTCATAACGTGCAATTAATGTAATAAAACTTTTTGTTCCCAAGGCGCCTACAGTATTTATTTCTTTTCCGAGCAGCCACGCTCGGTTGCGTAGGCAATACGGTGATCCGCGCGTACCATTAACCCAATGACTTGCTCACTGGGCCGATGTTGCTTCTAATAACTAATGCAGCCGCTGTAATAGGAGCACTTATGGCCCAGATACCTGAAGCGGATGATCAGAAGGCAAGGGTATTAAGCTCTGCATAATATTCAAGTCAAAGTCAGCCTACACGCATGGCGACTTTAGGTGACATATTATAAGTTGATACGAGTAAGTGTCACAATAATCATGATACATTTATATCGATTGATTTATTCGTTTAAGTTTTTCCTACTTTACGAGTAAAAACACGAGAATCATCATACAATTATGCACCGTAACCGTAGCCATTTATTTCCTAAATTATGTACTTTGAACTAAGAGTCGTATTCTAGAACTCTACTCAGTGCTCAAGTTAGGATTGCAATTGAAACACAAGCACTGGAAATACGACCCTAATGGCAGGGACTTGAGTATGATTTCGAGTGCTTTAAACCATACTCAAATCCTGACTTGAGCATTGAGTAGAGTTCTAGAATACGACCCTAAGTATTCCAGAACTCTACTCATTGCTCAAGTCAGGATTTGAATATGATTTCAAGCACTGGAAATACGACTCTAAACGCAAAGACTTGAGTATAATTTCTAGTGCTTTAAATCATACTCAAATCCTGACTTGAGCATTGAGTCGAGTTCTGGAATACGACTCTTAGTGTGAGGTATTTGAAGAATGTTATTGTCATTGCTCATTGAACTTGACGATTGCTGTGTTCTATAGCGATAAGATCTACGTACCTATTGATCATTTTAAAGAACTTCCTACATTTCTTTGCTCAACCAAGTGTTTACAGATAACAAAAATAGAAGCGAACTGCGATTACCCGCTAGCACTCTTATATTTCAGTCTAGGAAGTTAAATATTAGTTTAGTAATTATTGTGTAGAGACGGCGATCTGATATAAGAAAGGCAGCGCACGCGCCAATCGATGCCCACAGGCAATATGCTCGCGCAGCCCTGCCACCTACCGCCTGACAATAATGAGAAATTTATCTATGTGGCACAATAAAATACTACATTACATTACAAACCATTTCCTTTTATACCTCTCAAAATTAATGATGTAGAAACGTTTATGATTAAACGTTTTAATAACAATCAAGAATGTTCATCTCATGCACGCCTCATCATATTTTTACTTTTATCCGGCAAATTATCCGTGTAATAGACGACTCAATGAGGTTATAAAAGTGGATCGCTACCGAAGGCACAAGATAAAGCGATGACAGTGCATTTTTACACCAATTTACTGAAGTTCGAAAGTTGTTTGTATTTTTTGTGGTACCCATTCGACAAATCTTGTTTAGGCAATTGCTTCCCAATCAAATGAAAGGATTTGATGTTTTTGTTTCTTTTTATTGTAGGTACCTTTTATTGGAGCTTTAGTAATGCATTTGCATACCTACTTCTTTGTTTGTACTTTTTGTTATTTGATATTTTGTTTTTTAAAATTTAAAATTAATGATGACTTATTTTAATTCTATTTGTGTATTGTATTTGTGCAGTGTTACTTTTTTGTACTATAGTGTTTCGATTTTTTATTTATTTATCTATATCGCATGAGTGTGTTTTGTGATAAATAAACCTATCAATCTATATACCAAGTTACAAGTTTAAAGTAACATCTTTAAAGAAAATGAAATATTTGTTCAACGCTACAAACGATATCTTGTTTAAAGCTGAATTATTTCCCATCCAACTGCAGAGAATCTGATAGTTTAAATTACGTTAAAAAAACGAGATAATTTTGTGTAAGCACAAATAAATGTTTTGTTTAAAGGTGTGATACTATCATACCTTAAGCTTCATCAAAAACAATAGTGATTGTTGATTTTAGGTTTTCACGAATGCTACGAATCGGAAGATGAAACTTTTTTCGTATCTAAATCGCATAACTACATTTATTTTTTCAAACAAACCACCGTTTCGGGCTCTTTACGAGATTCCATGGTCGCGAGTGACTGACCATCATTGTTTAAAAAAACAAATATACGCTATTTAGGTAATAAAAAATCAGTTACATTTTCCAAGGTAAAGGTAGGTTTCCAGAAATAAGTGGCTGGTAGTTTTAAGAAGGAAAGAATGGTGTGTCGAAAAGGGCGTAAGACCGACGTAATTGGGCAGAATATACCTTAAGGGTTGCAAGGGTTTGAAAACAAGTGCTAAGGATACTCTTCTTTATTACTTATTCCTTCTTCTATATTTAATTATTTTGTACCAGTAACTATCCTTCTTACTTTTGGATATTTTTCACACCTTAATTTCGATCATTTTAATAAATATATTTACTGAAACTTAACAAAAATGTATGAAAATAGCCATTTCAATTTGCCCTTACTATATTGGTGAATAGCAGGCAAATTTTATTTCAACAAACAAAGTAAATGCACCTACAATTGAATTGTTGAAATATTTCTTCTAATTTAAGGGTAAAATTACAGAAAGGTTCCGCCATTTTTACAAAATAAGCTCGTGAGACTACTTCGGCAGTTGTGTACTTTAAATTATAGCTAGATAATTCGTAACACTTTACTGAGAGTTATGCGCAACCTGCAACTGGCAGGTACACGACAGTTCTCAGCAAGTACCTTAGAAGCCCGCGGCTGTAACAAGTGACTGGCGCAGGCACAGCCGCCGCCCTGCTGGCTGGCAGATAAGGGTCGGTAGCGGTTCTACTATCGCACATCATTTGCTCGTCATTGTACTACGACGTACGTTCAGACTTCACTTTGCAATGTTCTCTCATTAACGTTGCAAGTATATAGCAAGATGTAATTAACTATAGGTATAAATTGACACAATCTATTATAAGTGTACCTATTATAAAAATCCGTGTGGCCAACGGTTTAATTTTGTGAATTAGGTACTATTGTTCGTTACCAATACTAATAAATTCAGGACACTAAAATTTCTCATCTTATCTGGACGGAGACGATGTCCAAATCGGGGTTGTTGCTGATGCAAGTTTTTACACATCTTCTGATTTCTTGATCATCTGATTTTTCGATCTTAACGTAAGCGGATGCTGATTTTTGGTATTAAAAAAAAACGCGAGCAGTGTATTTCTTACTGAATCTATCTATATGAAAGAGCTTTCTATTTTCTTTGGGACTGTAAATTATTTCAATTATTTTGTGACATTTATTCACAAAAGAATCTTCAATCAATCTGGCTAATTTAATCGTTATAGAATTTTATCAAAGTTATATGTTAAAAACAACAGCTGGGCTGCTTTCTCGGCTTACAGTCTATTTCTGGAAGGCTTGTAAAATTATTTCAGCGTGATTTATTGGTGTGATGTCGATTAAGTCATGTCACGACTCGAATATCCGCATTGAATATAAGCATCAATGAATGCGGATGCTGATGCTGAGCGGATATTTTAATTTATACAGATTATCCGCGGATGCTGATATTCGCAACAACCCTAGTCCAAATTATAAGTATGTGTGATGATGCCATGAAGTGATAAAAATAGATTTTTTTGAGATTCGACACATTATTGCATCTCATTAACATTTTTACCGCAGTGGATACGTAAATTAAAATTTGAAAACGGATGTGGCGCGGCGTTCCACAACGAACATCGACGAGAGGAAACGGTGCGGTGGTAACATACTGCGCCGGTACCGCTAGGCTACGCTATAAGGTGTTAAATTATTGTATTTCCCGTTCCCAACACTACCTATTTGGAATCGCAACAAAAAACATATGAGTAGTTTCAATACAATTAACCTTTTCATCGCGCCGTTCTGACTTGTTACCGATTTTCTTAAAAGGATAGCTTCGAAAGTATGTAAAGTTAAGAAATGCAAATTAAAAGACAGAACTATACAAATGTTATCCATTACAAAAAATAGAAAGTTATAATTGATTATGACAGTGATAAAACATAATATTATGATTCATCAAATCTTGTAGAGCGCAGAGCGTAGACTGATCATCACGAATTTTAAACAATTAAATCGATGAATACGTAATGTTTTTCTGATAAATGTGACTTTGTTTTACCGTGATTGTAATGGTAAGGCTTTAAATTTTTGTTTTTAGTACGTTAATAAAACTACTGATTATTTGTACACTTCACGTTTATGCAACCAGAAAATGTTTTCATACATTCGCTATATTGACAATTTTCAGCGTCAGATTACGCCATTCCATTTTGATTATACGACACACTACCTACTTACATTAAATCATTTATTTATTTATTTATTTATTTATTTTTTATTTATACACAGGTAAGTATATATATAACCTCACAGTCTAGTCATAACCTGCTGTAATGTTAATATATAATATATTATGTTGGTAAGTATCTACAGAGGTTTGACAAATTGTGTCGGTATGGTTCGCTGTAATGACGGATGTGCCTGCGCAAACTGCGCATGACCCGACCTACGAACCGTGACGACCATTGTTGACAGCCACATCACAATCTGTTTCATCTGTACGGGTATAGTTTAAAAATGTGTGGTGAATATAGACGTTTTCATGTATATTAAGGAAGATTCCTGCTTATTTTTATTACTGATAGAATGATTATCTAGCAGTAGAACTACGGAGTGTAGAGTACCCATAAGTATGAGTAGATATGTAAGCGGTAGTAACTCGGTAGGTTCGGTAACTGCAAATACCTAGTAAAATTTTAATTGAATACAAGGGCAATTAAGCAAGGGCTTATACATCGGTCCGTAATA